AAATATAAGCCTTGTGGACTACTTTACTTCAAATTTTTATTTTTCATTTTTCTCTAAACTTTTAACTCTTCAAATATCATGCATTTCAATTGAGTGTTCAGATCCATTTGTGTGTGTTTTGGTAAACTTTTAACCAAAGTTTTATTGGAAAGAGTTAAAACAACCTAACAAAAAGAAAGAACCCGTATCGATGATAAACAAAAAAAAAGAAGAATCCAAATATATTTTTATTGCCGTGACGTAATTGTCAAAATAATAATAAAGTGGAAGAAGAGGATGCTTGCTCAATCCTCGCTCGTCATGGCCATATGGATCATGTGGTCCAAATTCTCTGCACACACACACTCTCTCTCTCTCTCTTTTACCTTTTTTAATACCATGGCGTGCGTTAGTTCCACGCGCCGTCGTCGAAGTGAGAGAGAAGCAAACCCACCGTCAAAGAAAGCAAAGCACCACAGTCACGTACACACGTACACTTATAATGATGAATGAATGACACAAAATTAGATCTCAATTTAGAAAAAAGAGAAGCTAGGACAGTGTTCGAGTGGGTGATCACGTGCGAGTGACACGCGTCGCCGTCATCAGTTTTAGAGTGGGACCCGACGTTGAAACTGTTTTTTTAAAGTTTAATCAAAGCCATTTATTTTTCTGACAATCGGAAGTACTTAATGATCCCGAGAAATTTTGTTCTATAGTACAACACTCTTTGACTTTTTATTGAGTTTGGTTGTTCGGACAATCACATGTCACGTCACGGTCAACGGTAAGCCAAACTCAATATCGATCGGGGATATTTCCATAGTTGCAATGGAATATGAGAACGGTCTTCAAAACGATGTCGTGACGGCTCTGAAACGCACTACACCGTACACATTCCCCGTAAACGCACGTCTTTATCTTCACCAGATATACACATGCATCGATAGGTAGATACATCATGTTAACACGAAATGTGAATAAATGTAATCGATTACGATTAGTATAAGTATATCATGACCATGTGCAAGATGCACATACGTTTAATTTAGCTTATTACAAAAATTAGCAACAACAAAAACAAAGGAGGCTAGCTAAAATGTTCCTAAGACAGCTACACATGCTTTGTCAAATTGAGCTACGCAGAATATTGATACAGCTATGGAAAAAAAATTTCTTTTGTGTGCACATTTTTGTTCTTATCGATTTGTGTAGTCTTCGTACCCTATTTGAATTGATCCATAGGTTCTAAGGAACATTCGGTTCTAAGCCATCGATAAGTTTCTTCCTCTCTATTTTGACTCACGACTTTTTCAATATTTTGTTAAGTTTCGACGTGTGTGATTTTGTGATTCTTTGATATTCGAATTTGTTTTTATCCACTTCAAAATATTTTGTGTAGTTTTATAATATTTGTTTATTACAGGATCTTAGCTATAGTCAATTGTGTTTATAAAATAAATTATCAGGTGTACATCTATCTATCTGTTTTTAAACGATCTGTAATATTTGGATCATAAACAGCAATTAAGTGAATTTCACTAGAACTTATCTTTCAGAACATAAAATGTAATTTTATAACCATCTAGTGATAATGTTGGATCATAAAAGATAATGTTGCTATACAAATGTTAAAACAGCAAGTGAATTCATGTTTTCACATGTTAAAACATCAAATTTCTGCTGCCGTACAAGTCAACACAGCAACATTATCTTTCAGAACATAAAATGTAATTTTGAATCTTCTCAATATTAAAATTTATGTTGTTTAACAAAAAAAATTTTTTTGACGTATGTTGTTTAACAATTTATGTACGTAATTCTGAAACGTCTCCACTATCAACAAAATTATATCTGGAAAGATATCATTTCATGGTTGACAGCTTGATAAATATTAAACGATCACAATTAATAACTTGCTATACAAATGTTTTGAAAAATTTGTGGAGGAATTTATTGCCTCGATAATTTACAAAAAGAAAAGAACAAACAACACACAGGCATTAACTAAAACAGGAAAAAAATAAATCATTTTCCAAATATGTCGTTCCTTTTTTTTTAAGATAAAATATACGATTCTCAATTTGACAATTAGAGTTGGAAAACACTAATTGAAAATACAGCTTTGTATTCTTTAAAGAGAGAGGAGGTATATTCGAAACAAGGAAAGAAAACAATAACAATCCTGAAAAGAAGAAGGGATTAAAACAAATAACAAAAGAAGGATTTGTTTGTTTGTGTTCTATAAAAGACAGAGGAGTATTCGTTTGTATGTTATAACATTAGGTACCTAATTGCATCAACTAGCTGTAATTACACCGACTCTAAATCAAAATGTAAATCACTAATCTAATATAATATTGTAAAGTTTTTTTAGTCAGATTCTTTGAGGAACTGCCACGTGTCTTCCTATTTTTTTGTCTCTTGTCTTCTCAAGACAACAATTATTGGGCCACCAAATACAATTTTCGTAAAACAATTAGCAGCCCACTAAATACAACTATCGGCCCACCCCTTTTTTAATTAATTGGTTGTGAATTTAACATATTTTTCAGTGACAATATTTTGAGATTATACCTAGGTAGCACGAAAACTTTGTCAGAGATCCGCTTTCCGTTTCAGAATTGGAATCGGAATCTCTCTGAAGCTTTTAGAAATTCGTTTCCATGTCGTTTCCAAAAAAAAACCCTCTAAAAGCATGTTGGAAACTTGCGTTTCCGTTTTTAAAATATTATGTTATAAATAAATAGGAAAATTAAAATTATTTTTGATATGTCTCATTTTATAAATACAAATAAAACTAAAAACTAATTTAATACTTTGACATTTATACAAACTAATTTCATCTTTTATCTACAAATTATCTTGTTTAGAAATAGTCTTTTGAATGAGATTATTTTGAAAGATTTGAGTTTTGTGATGGAGTTAAAAATTTTCAAAATGAAGATGGTGATTAGATTTTTGATTTTAAATCATATTATTTTGAATTTTCTGTTCAGTTATATAAAATTGTATTCAATTTGTGTATTTCTTAACATTTTG